ATTACATAGGGCCACTATTGTAAAACAGGACTGACATCAGGGTTGAGGAAAGACAGAGAAGAACAGAATGAATGATGCATACTGCATTGAAACAGATGAGGGAGAGAACTATTTAAAAGGGATATATTATGGGGTATTATTGTCATTACAGGAGTCCAGAATGAAGGCTGCACAGTGGAGTGGACTTGGAGGGAGGGATTGTATAACAATGAAAGAGATTTTCTTTTTAATGAGAAGAGTGAACTGAGGGGGCCGGGGTGGGCAAAGGGAAAAGTGCAACAACGAATGACTCGAAACCCGAAGTCTCTGTGAACTTTCATTAAAATGAATTTTAAAGAAGATAGTTAAAAAATAAAGTAATTGTGAAGACTGTGGCTTTGATCAGGTGTCTCTAGACTGACATATTTGCATGTTAACACTCTGTAGAAGTTCCTGACAGCAGACTTTCCCAATGCAATTTATCTTTTGATTTCCTGGCTGCTGATCCAAGAGTGTTGTGGACCTGAGGAAGCTGAAATTAACAATCTCAATCTCTTCTCTCTCTCTCTTTCTCTCATGGTGCTGCCAATTGGCCCAGTGGTGAGAATCTTTGTTTTCTTGATGTTGAGCTTCAATCCTTACTGAAGATGGTAGTCTTTGACTTTCTGCAGCAGATGCTTTAGGTCTTCCTCAGTGTCAGCCAGCAAGGTTGTGTCATCTGCAGGTTGTAGATGAGTCTTCCTCCAATCATGATGCCACTCCTTCCTCCTCATAAAGTCCAGCCTTCTGAATGATTTGCTCAGCATATAGTTTGAAGAAGTATGGAGATATGCATTATGCTTCTCTGATGCACACCTTTCCTGATTTTGAACCATTCAGTGTTTTCTTGCTCTAGTTCTGATGACTACCTCCTGGTCCAAGTATAGGTTTTACATGAGCACTGTCAGGTGTTCTGGGATTCCCATTCTTCTTAAGGTTAGCCACATTGACACTGTGGCTGGGGAGTCAAGTCAAGTTTGTTGGAGACAGTGAGATTGGCTCAGGATAGGACAAGTTCAGAGGTATAATAACACATGGGTTTGCTATGCATAACAGGTTACTTGACGGCACATACAACAATGACGACATCTACCACGTGGCTTATTCAGATGATCCAACCTTGTTTGCAGAAAGGTAATCAAACTTGAAACACTTACTGGAGGAGATTAAAGATTACAGCCTTTAATATGAATTACATCATAACATAAAGAGGACATATATCCTCATCACTAGACCAATAGGCAGCATCATGATAGAAGGGAAAAATGAATTTTTCAAAGATTTCATTTTACTTGATTCCACAATCAACACTCATCGTAGCAGCAGTCAAGAAAGAAGACATGTTGCTTTAGGGAAATGTGCAGTCAAGGACCTTCTCAAAGTGCTTCTTCTGTCATCCTTATTCATTGTCCAGCTCTTTGAAGCACAGAAGACAATTGTGAAGACTATGGCTTGGATCAGGCCCATCTTAGTCTGAGGTGCCAAGACCAAGGATGCCATTGCAAAGACTGAGGTGTGCCTGATCCAAGCCATGGTGTTCTCAGTTGTTTCCTGTGCATCTAAAATTGGACAGTAAGTAAAGAATATCAGCGTATTGAACGTACTATGAACTTCCAAGAGAACAGACAAGTCTGTCTTGAGTGAAGTCCAAGCAGGGTCCTCTTTAGAGGCAAGGATGGTGAAACTGTCTCCCTTATTTTGCTCAGATTTTCAGCAGCAACTAGTCCTTGGAGAGAGACATCACACTGAGCAAGATAAAGGGTCCATGAAAGACCAGAAGACCCTCAATAAGGTGAATTGACAGAGTGACTACAACAGTGGGCTTGGGCACATCAGATCTAGAGGATGGCACAGGACAGAGTGAGCTTCAGATCTGTTTTTCCCAGGGGGACTATGAGTTGTAGTCAACTCAGTGGCCCCTAACAATAACAATTACTAAAACATACAAAACAAACAACCG